GCTCCAGACCGCCCCCCCCCCTAGTGCGCAGGGGAGGGGCCTCCGCCACAGGAAGCACAAAGGCCTGGCCCCCCACACACCCTGCCGGGGCCGCGGGACATGAGGCGGTTTGGGGGGGCGGGAGGATGTGCTATAGATTTGAGGTTGACCTTCTGTGCGTGGGTTTGGGTTTGTTTCCAATTTGCGATTGTTGTTTTTTTTGCAGTTTTCTACCCAATTGCACAACTCCGTTCTTGGGGTGGCAGCCCAGGGCTTGGAGGTGGCGGGATGAGGAGGGGGCCACAGCTGCAGACCCAAGTGCCCCCCCTCCAGGCCCCTCCTTGACCTAGGCTCCTGGCGTGCGTGAGTGTGTGTGTGTGTGTGCGCGTGTGTGTGCATGCCGTGTTCGTGTGCAAGGGGCCGGGAAGGGGAGGGAGGTGTGCGTGTGAATGCCCACGAGGGCTGCTGCCAGCGTGTGCGTGGCGATGGGCACTCATGCAGGGTGTGTGTCTGTGTGTGAGTGCGGCGGCCCCAGAGGCCTGGGCGTTTGGCTGAGCCAACACAGGGGCTTCCAGAAGGCCAGGGGGGCCTCCAGCTGCCGGTCAGGAATTTGAGGGGAGACAGAGAAGGGGTTTCAGGGACAGAGGCCAAGAGGCCTGCCCATTAGCCACACTGGCAGCAGCTGTGTAAACGTCTTGGGGGGCAGCAAAGGTGGGTGGCCCCCTGTAAATATGGCCCCAGGGTGGTCAGAGGGTCCCACACCACCAGTCCCCTTGTGACCTCCCCTCCGACCTCCAGCTGACCATGCATGCCAGCTGAGTGGCCAGCTGAGACTTGGACCCTCTCTGGAATTTGCCTCCCCAACCCCCTCCCGATCAATAAAACTGTTTACAACCACCGGCCCCCAAGGCTCTGGGTCTGCTCTGTCTCCCAGGGGTGGGGCCTGGGCAGTGGCAGGGCCCTGAACAGTTGGGAGCACCCCCAAGACTCACGGCTGGGTCACAGCAGCCGACAGAACTCTGGGGCGCTGAGTGTGGGAATGCAGAGAGTTGGGGGGAGTCCCCGTCTTCATATGCATGGGGCCCAGTTTCTGACTGGTCCTTCAGCAAATATTTATTGTGCACCTACTATGTGCCAGGCACTATGTGGGGACAAAGACCCCTGTCCTCAGGAGCTCACAGCCTAGTGGGGAAACTGACCACATACAAGCGATTAGTGCTTGATTTGCAGCAGTAATATGTGTAATATAATAAAACCAGGTAATATGCTCAGTAGTGGAGACTGTGTGTGGAGGAGGGGGGTCCAGGAGGGCCTGCCGGGGGTAACATTTGAGCTGAGACAGGGGAGATGGGACAGCCTCGGAGAGATGTGCAGATAGAGCCTTCCAGGCAGAGGGAACAGCCAGTGCAAAGGCCATGCGGTGGGAATTCACTTGGAGGACAGGTGGCAGCCAGTGTAGCTGGAGCAGTGGGTGAGGGAAGATCAGGTGGCGATGAAGAGGGAGGAGAGGATAGGGCCCCAGACTGGCAGGGCCTTGCAGGTGAAGAGTACAATTTTTTTAACTGTGGTAAAAGATGCATAAATACACATAAATTCACAGGTGCCATTTGAGCCTTTTTAAAAGTGTTCACTTCAGTGGCATGAAGTCCATTCACATTGTTGGGTAACCATCCCCACCATCTATCTCCAGCACTTTCTCATCTTCCCAAACTAAACCCCCGTCCTCATTAAATAGCAAGGCCTTATCCCACCCCCACTCGCCCAGCCTCGGAGATGTTAAGTTGGACAGGGAGCCACCGGAGGATTTTAAGCAGGGGACATGATCTGAATTCATTCTAAGAGATCGCTCTCGTGTTATGTCATTACAGTTCACAGCCCTTCCTTCCAGCCCATGTCAATTAAGCACCTACTGTGTGAACAAGACAAACCTGGTTTCTTCTTGACATGGGGGGAAACTGATAATAAAGAAACACAAATACTCTGACGGCATCTAACAGCTCCTCCCGAACTTGCGTGTGTCTGTCTTTTCAGCTGGAGCTATAATTGACATATAACATTGTGTAAGTTTCAGGAATGCAACTTGATGATCTGATGTACGGATATATTGTAGGATGGTCACCACAATGAGATGAACTCATCCATTGCCTCACACAGTTACCTTTTAGTGTCTGAGCAGAACATTTAAGATCTACTGTCTTAGCGACTGCCAAGTACACAATACAGTATCATCAACAATAGTCACCGTGCTGTCCATTAGAGGCCCAGAAATTACTCATGACTGCGGGTTTGTACCCTTAGGCCAACATCTCTCCTCTCCATTGCCCCCCACCCCCAGCCCCTGATGAGAACCATCCTACCACCGGTGCCTATGAGTTCATTTTTACATTCCACCTATACCCAAGATCACACAGTATTTGCCTCACTCCATCTGACTTATTTCACTTAGCATAATGTCCTGAAGGTCCATCCATGTTGTTGCAAATGGCAGGATTTGTGTCTTATTTTATGGCTGAAGCGTGTGTGTGTGCGTCTGTGTGTGTGTGTGTCTGTGTGTGAGAATAATGCTGCAGTAACCAGGGGGAAGCAGATATCTAAAGATGGTGATTTCATTTACTTTGGATAAATGCCCAGAAGTGGAATTGCTGGATTTTTAAATTTTCTGAGGAGCCTCCATATTGTTCTCTGTAGCACCAATCTGCATTCCCACCAACAGAGCACAGGGTTCCCTTGTCTCCACAGCCTCGCCAATACTTGTCACTTCTTGTCTTACTGAGAATAGCCATTCCAACAGGCGTGAGTGAATCTCACGGTGGTTTTGGTGTGCACTTCCCTGACGATCACTGATGCTGAGCATCTTTTCATATATCTGTTGGCCATTTGTGTGACTTCTTTGGAAAAATATCTCTTCAGGCCTTTTGCCCGTCTTGGTGTGTGCCTGTTTTGTGTGGCTGTCTCTGCAGGCCTGCCATTCTGTCCTGTGTGTCCTGCTCTGTCCGTGTGTCTGTTAGGTTCTGTCTATGTATTTTTGTTTTATCTCTGTCAGTATCTATGTCTGTGGATTCATGTGTATCTATCTTTCATTCTTCATCTGTGCCTGTCACTGGCAACCTGTGTGTTTATCTCTGAGCCTGTATGTTCTGTCTCTAAGACAGAACTCAGTCATCATCACAGCTGAGTAGGGATAAACCCTGCAGAGATGGGGCAGGGAGAAGAGGCCATAGCCAGGCATAACAGATAAGATAACAATGCACACCTGAATTTTTAGAACTCAACCAGAATGAAAGCACTTAATAGCAAAACCCATGGGATGCAGCCAAAGCCGTTCTCAAAGGGAAATGTATAGCCTCCTAATGTATTCATTAGTAAACAAACAACCCAAAACAAATGGTGCATCAGCTTAGGATGAAGGAAGAGCAATACCTGAAATCTATATAATTTTATTAACCAATGTCACCCCAATAAATTCAATTTTTTTAAAAAAAGAGCAGATGGGAGCTTTGGAGATTGAATTCAACTTCACAGATGAGGAAACAGAGACCAAGAAAAGTTAAGCCACTTGCCACAGTCACAAAGCATAGCAGTCCTGGCACAGCTGGGACTCAGAAATAGGTTTAGTCCCTCCCAGCTCATTGTTCAAAGACTTCTGGCATCCCTCGCTTTTATATTCTATTTTTAAAAAATTATTTCAATAAAAATATATCCAACAACATGTCATAAACTCACGACAAGTGTTTTTTGTTCTCATCACTGCACTTCCTGATTGCTCAAGTGTGTCGCAAATAGTACCTCTTGTCCCCATCCTCCAGGACTGGCACCTTGCAAACTTGACCCTTGATTCCTGGGTTGGGGGGTGGGGGGAGTGGGGACTCACTCCCAGAGACTCTGGGTGCTCACTTTCCAATAGCAGGAATCAGGGGAAGGAAAACTGGACAAAAACAGAGACAAGAAGGGGTGGGCAGCCCCCCTGCTGTCCTCCCCCACCAGGAAACAATTTTGCAATCTTGACTCCTCCCTTTCCTGTGCCTGGCTCAAGCTCAGGCCCTACCGGGAACAGGATGTGGGTGGGTGGGGACTTCCCTATGGTTGGTGCCACTGCCCCCAGCCCAGGTAGGTATAAGGCCACCTCAGCAGACCAAAGGAATCTGGACGGAAAAGAGAGAGGCCACCATGTCCTCTTGGAGCCCAGAAGGAAACCAGAGG